TAAATTGGAACTTTAAGGATCGTTTTGCCTTGGACTCTGATTTAATTCTACATGATACTTGGAACGCTGACACCCTGCTTGCAATCTGAAGTGTGCAGCTGAGAAACAGGTTTGATACCACATAAAAACTAAGTCAGCAATGCCCAAAAAAAATGTACTGTGGTATATAGCACTCTTTAATCTTGCATCTGCTTTCCAGCTGATATTCCTTCCTACAGATCAATGCATGCCAGCGGTATTGATGGTTTGAAGAGACAGCTGGGAGAAACAGGTGATTTACCGCTGGGAAAAAAATTGGTTTCTTACCTCTCCTCTATCTGTTCTGGGAAGTTTCAGTGGCTTTTTCTGTTCTTCCTTTGGAAGAGATGGAGGTGCTGAAGATCCTTTATCCAAGCTAAAAAAACAAAACGATTGCAAAACTTACTTGTAGTAGACGATACATAGGCATAAGTTGTTAGCATGGGAAAGCAGTGATCAATGTCCTATAAAGCTTATTGTATGGGGTTTCCCCTAGAACAGCAAATACGATGCCTTATAATTATACTTCTATTTGGTTCAATCATCTAGAACCGTGATGGGGAACCTATGGCCAGTTGTTGCTCCACCGTGCATGTATATGTGCCTCCCGCCAGCCAGCTGGCCTTTGGATCTTTGCCGCGCATGTGTGGGGCGCATGTGGGGGATGTGCATGTGGGCTTGCATTGCATTGTGGGGCCTCGCGCTGTGCGAGACCCCCTCCCTCCCGTGCCCAGTTTTGGCCCTGGAAATCCTCCTGCACCAACCTGGAAGCCAAAAATGGGCAAGAGGGGATAGGGTGCATGCGCAGAGGAGTGCGGGGGTCACACATGAATGCACAGGGGTCGCAGGGGCGGAGCACGCAGGGGGTCGCGCACACGTTGGCCCGCGATGACAAAAGGTTAGCCATCACTCATCTAGAGAATGGGTGGTCAAAGTTTTGAGCTTAAAGGAATATTAAAGGAATATCTATGGTTTTGCTTGTAAGATTTGAGTAAAGTAGGAGTCTCTATTTTGTAAACATTGGATTGATGGGAGAGAAATTCAAGGCCAAGAAAAGAACAGCCAAACGTCTGTTAACTTGAAAATACAGGAAAAGCTGAACCTTGGGAGTGACATAAATATGGGGGGCCCTTGGTGCTCATTACCCAAACTAGGAACACCAAGGCACTGATGATATTACCTAGACTGGTAATGAAATGTTTGCAAGAAAACAACCAACCTCAGAGAGTACAAAGGACCCTTCATTTTTATCCTGAGCTACAAATACTCTCCTCTATCACTGACAAATATAGAGGAGATTTCATGTGTGTGGAAGGAGGGAGGGAGAGGGAGATTTACATTCATGCCTGCTATGAAGCCTTGACACTCTGAGACTCTCCCTCCCTCTTTCTCTCTCCCTCTTATTGATTTTCTTTTAAGGTTGCTAGTTTCAAGGAAGATCCAAGGAGCAGTTTTAGGGAAATGTAACATACAAGCATGCAGTATCATACTCACGTATTGCCCAAATGAGCATCCTTTGGTGTAAAGAAAAGGGAACCCATTCTAGTTTCCTTAGAAGAGCTTTCCTTGCCTTGGCTAGGGATTCGAGGCAGTCTGAACCGTTTTTCCCTCGCAGGTAGATTGCTGACACTTTCCCGAGACTCGGCACCCATTTGCAAATTCAACCAATCTGTTCCAACAGACTTCAGGATGACTGGAGCCTGGCTGTCCTTTTTCTCTGGGTTTTTTTCTTTCAGGACTGGCTGGCGAATAGGAGGACTTCCTTTTTTGGGGCCAGTAGGAGATTTAAGGACCACCGATGAGGTGGCGCCTGCATTCGTTGCAAGCCTTAGATCTCCTTCCTTGACTTGAGGATGGGCGATGAGTAGAGGCGGGGCTCTGTCCATTTTCTTTGGTGAGGTGAGAGGGGTCCCATGGCAGGAGTCCCGAATCCTATTCTGTTCACTCTCTTGTCTCTGAAGCTCTTCAAAAACTTTATGCTGCTTCTCTAAAATTTCGGTCTGCTGCCGTATTTGCTCCATCATCTCTTTTTCGTTCTGCATCTGTTTTCGTTTCCGGCGTTCTTCTTTCTCAACATTTAACTTCTCCAACTTTTCGATAACCGTCTCCAAGAGATGCATTTCTGTAGCTGTAGCAGCTGGGAGTTCTCCACTGCCGGACGTTTGACCATCGTGGTGTAAGGATGTGCTCTGTGTGATCCTTTCCAGTTGAGGATGTTTTCTGGTGTCTGGGAAATAAAAATTGCTCCCCATTTCCATTTGTTTGTTTCTTAGATTATTGTCCCTCACTGAATGGTCAACTTTCAACTTGTCCTGTGGCGGAAGATAAAATGTAGGCAAACTACTAGAAATTAATGATTCCCTTGGATGCTTGTTGGAGACGATGTCGTACGAGTCACAAACCGACGGCCGCTCTTTAACAGCAAGACAGTCAAGTAATTCAGAACTTGAGATTGACCTCTTTCTCTCGGTCATAGTTTTATTTACAGTAGCAGCAGCAAATTTGGAGATGTCTTCATCATCACCATCGTCGTCATCAAATCTCGGACTACCGTGTAGTGATTCTCTGGGATGTACGTTGTGATCCGGAGACGAGAGGAGGTCCCGGCTTAGGTTCTCTAGACTTCTGCGAGAGCTTTTGTTCTCCGGAGTTCTTCGAGGAGAGGGCATCCCTTCAGAAGCGAAGTCAGGGGACAACTGGTGCTCCTCGGATGGCGAGGTTCCGCTGGTGGATCGGACCTTCAGCAACTCCAAGCTAAAAATGGCTTGTTCCAGTTCACGCATGCGCCGGCTCTCTCGCTTTGCACGGACTCCTTTTTTGGGGTTGAGGTCTTCCAGGGACTTTGGTCTTTCTCTGACAAGAACTTCCTCTTCCATGCTCATTCCGCTCTGGCTGTTGGCCCTCTCGTGATGCTTGTGAAAGGAATTTGATGGGTCTATTCTATTGTCTGTAGCCGATGTGTAGTCTTCGACAGCTTTCACTCTGTTTTCCATTGAATTCTCTTCCCATTCAGAAGGGTCTGAATCCTTAACACCTGAGTTATACCCTAGTATTAATTTATCATCTTTACTTGTTAGTCTATTCTTTAGTGATGCTCCACTCAACCGCTGCTCTCTTAATGTGGTAAACCTGTTTAAAAGAAGAATAGATGGAGAAAGAGCTCAGTTATGACCACAAATTTGTCAGTCTTCCTTTCATTTTGACCTTTTCCCATTAACTTCCCATTCTGTTTCCTCTAATAAACAGGTAAAGGTAAAGGTTCCCCTTGCACATATGTGCTAGTTGTTCCCAACTCTAGGGGATATCTCCGTTTCAAAGCCAAAGAGCCAGTGCTGTCCAAAGACTTCTCCGTGGTCATGTGGCCGGCATGTCTGAACACCACAGGCACACAGAGCGCTGTTGCCTTCCCACCAAAGGGGGTTCCTATTTTTCTACTTGCATTTTTTACGTGCTTTCAAATTGCTAGGTTGGCAGAAGCTGGGACAAGTAACAGGAGCTCACTTCGTTACATGGCGGTAGGGATTCGAACCGCCAAATTGCCGACCTTTCTGATCGACAAGCTCAGTGTCTTTTCTCTAATAAATAGGAAGCATCAAATATGCATAAAAATACATGGATATTTTTAGTACATCCCAGAGTTCTCCTGATGATGGAACATGCTTGTTCTCATATATCAAGAAAAGGTTATATCTTTTTTCCCCCCTGCTCCGGTGAAGTTTATATAAAGGCAACAACTGATATGATTGCAATTATTTTTAAACCAGGATTTACTGCAATGGGTGAAGCTTTACATACAGCTTAGTACTATCCATTAACCCAGTTCTTCCTCGGCTTAAGTGCTGTCCAATGAGCAACTCCTAGGATTCTCTAATCAGGATGGCCATTGTATCAAGGTTGGGGGAGACTATATGGAGCAGAATCCTCATTCACACAGTGATAATGACTATGGTGGTTGAACTAGATTGGGGAAGGCTGATTATGCTGCTTGACTGGGAAGTTGCAGTCCACACGTTGAATGCAACCGATTATGGAAAGCCTGTCTATTATGCTAGTAGCTTATAACTTCATGTCCCCTTTAGAACTGTTAATGAATCCTTAATTAATAATGTTAAGAGAAGGGATGGTAATTCCCAGGTGCAAAGTGTATGTTTAACTGTTTGACGTATGATCTCTCCTCAAATCTTTATTTACAGGGGCTATGTTCACAATATACCAGCAATAATATACCTGTGTGTGATCTGGGCTTACTGCCATGTGTGAATCTAGCCATTGTGATTGATCAGCCATAATATATAGCTTGCCCTACTGTAGTCCAACTAAGGAAATAGCCGTTTCTTTTACACACCACAGTGAACAAATGATATGCATATGAATCCAGATAAAAGGTTTGTCATGTTGTAAACCAAATCACTAGAGGGCACTGAACCAATAATTGTTAAGTTTTGAAGCTAGGTAAAAGCTATTTTTATGCAGCAGCATCAGAACAAGATCATAAAGAATTAAATTTGTCTGTTCTTTTTAAATATCTCTTTTATCACCCAGCCGGTCCCAATAATTCCAAAGGTCTTCTTCCATTTGGACAGGTGTCTCCTGCCCAAAACATGGCATGCATTACCTCTGCCGTGCTTTGTAGCCTCTATAGGCTGCTTGCAACAAAATGATTTTGTTTCTCTTGGCCCTGTAGAGAGTCCTCGTGCGGTAGCTCCGCCAGTGCGCCTGGATAGAGGTTGCCGCGGCATGCCGACGTCTTAGGCAGTCCCGCCAAGAGCTCTGGATGATGAAGCCTGCAATCCGCATCTGATGGAATCTTCGCCGGGCCATGTAACCTCGCCAGTATGCCTGAAGGACCACAACAGCTCGCTCTAAAAAGGCTGAATGGTTCAGGGACTCTGCCTCTGTTTCAGCTTCCTTCCTTCTCTGGTAATGACGCCAACAACGCTGCCCAGGGAATTTAAAAGGGGGAAAAAAAAAGGGGGGGGGGAAATACTTTATTAACACAATAATGAGTTTTTAGCCAAAGTCGTTAGCTGGAATAGTTCTTGTTAAGACTTTTCTAACACTTAAGTACTAATTTCTAATATTAAAGGTAAAGGTTCCCCTCGGACATATGTGCGAGTCGTTCCCGACTCTAGTGGGCGGTGCTCATCTCCATTTCAAAGCCGAAAAGCCAGCGCTGTCCGAAGATGTCTTTGTAGTCATGTGGCTGGCATGACTAAATGCTGAAGGCGCACAGAATGCTGTTCCCTTCCCACCAAAGGTGGTTCCTATTTTTCTACTTGCATTTTTACGTGCTTTCT